TAATGTACAGTGTGTCTGTCCCTCATCCCCCACCCCCTCCTCCTCCCTTGCTAATGTACAGTGTGTCTGTCCCTCATCCCCCACCCCTCCTCCTCCTTTGCTAATGTACAGTGTCTGTCCCTCATCCCCCACCCCTCCTCCTCCCTTGCTAATGTACAGAGGGTGTCTGTCCCTCATCCCCCACCCCTCCTCCTCCCTTGCTAATGTACAGTGTATCTGTCCCTCATCCCCCACCCCTCCTCCCTTGCTAATGTACAGTGTGTCTGTCCCTCATCCCCCACCCCTCCTCCTCCCTTGCTAATGTACAGTGTGTCTGTCCCTCATTCCCCACCCCTCCTCCTCCATTGCTAATGTACAGTGTGTCTGTCCCTCATCCCCACCCCTCCTCCTCCTTTGCTAATGTACAGAGGGTGTCTGTCCCTCATCCCCCACCCCTCCTCCTCCCTTGCTAATGTACAGTGTGTGTCTGTCCCTCATCCTCTCCTTCATCACTAGGTGAAAACCACCAGGTAAGATATAATGCCAGGACATGTCTTGAGACATACAGGCTACTGATGTATCTTTGTCTTACAGGGAAAATGCCCCTGGTAGCCCGAATTTCCTCAACACCAGTACTGTTCCCTTGCCCTCGCATCCTTTTCTTTCCAACTGAAGTTTTTGTAAGGTGTGAGAGTATAGACTTCCTGATAAAGCCGCTAGGGGAAGTCCTACACACAGAGTGTATGTCCAGGACTGAAAGCACTATTTGCTATGAAATCATGTCACCCTGCCAAGCGTGTGGTGGAGGCTCAGCAGGAGTCACCCACCCAGCCCTTTGGGCATTGAGGAGGATGAGAAACTGTGTGTGTGTGTGTGTGTGTGTGTGTGTGTGTGTGTGTGTGTGTGTGCGCGCGCGCACCTGTGTGTGTACAGGTCAGAAGAAAACTTGAAGGAGTTGGTTCTCTCCAACCTCTCATGTCTTGGGAGTTGAGCTCAAGCTGAGAGGTTAGTCAGCAGCATCTTTTACCACTAAACATTTTGCTGGCCCCAAATAATTTTTTTAATGTGTATGAGGGTCTTGCCTGTATGTGTGTCTGTGCACCACATGTATGCAGTGCCCCTGGAGGCAAGAAGAGGGTGTTTAATCCGCTGGACCTGGAACTACAGACAACTGTGAGCTGCTATGTGGGCACCAGGAACTAAACCCAGGTCCTCTGCAAAATCAGCCAGTGCTCTTAACCACTGAGCCATCGTCTCCCCAGCCTCTGCCGACTTACACTTTAAAGCTGAAGTCTCCAGCACCAGCAGAGCACAGATACAACTTACTCACTGCTTACATTTTGCTTCTAAAGCTATGTATGACACGTGGAGATTTTTGTGTAAATCCCTCTATGAGGACTTACAAACTCCCAAGATGTGAACATGAGAAGTACAGCAATGACCTGTTTGGAAATAGCCCAAAATAAGACACATTCTAACATTTGCAGGTACAGTGGCTCCCCAGCCTGGGGGGTTCATCTACTTTACAGAATCCATGAAGAAGAAAATGAGGCATCAGTAGAGGCAGGTGCTGCTGACAGTGGAGATCTGACCTCAGGCTGAGGTGAAGTTGTTCCTGGAGAAGCATGCCAACGGGCAGGTGCCTTCCAGTCCTTGGCAACTATCCAAAAGGAACCCAGTGTGGGTCTACTAGACTCCACAGCAAAAGCCAAGCTTAGGAATTGATCTCCCTTTCGTTCTGACTGTGGATTAACAACTGCTGCTCTGGGCGCTCATCTTTCCTGTTTTCATGGTCCAGCCAAGACTAGCTAATATCTGGGTCCTGCCTCCACTCAGGGCAGCAATAATTTATATACTTCTGCATACACATATTTTCCTCATTTCCCCTATTTTCATACATGTGTATTTGTGCAAATGTGCAGTATGCATGTGTGTGCACCTGCACATAGAAGCACCTGTATGTGCCCACCTGAAGCTGATGTCGGGAACTGTCTTGTACTGCTCTTCCATGTTATTCCTTGAAGCAGGATCTCTCAATCAAACTCAGATCTCAATGATATGGATAGCTCAATAGCCAGCTTTCTCTGAGAAATCCCAGAGATCCCCTTATCTCCATGTTCTGAGGCCACCATACCCATCCAGAAACGTGGGTTCTGGGGACTCAAACTCTAGTCCGCAGACCTACCAAGCCCCTACATGCATACATTTCAAAGGAATAATAAGGGAAAAAATTAAAATCAAGCTATACAAGTTTTTAATGCCCAGATGTGCAATCTTTAACCTTTGTACACATTCAGGAAGGGGAGAGCATGCCATAGATGCTTCAGCCCTGGTGAGGCTGCTCTTTACAGCTACTGTCCTTATATACTACCTAGAACAGCTTCTCCCCATCATGGTCTCAACAATTCTCACTCATACAATCCCTCTTTTTTCTTGCTGATTGGATTCCTGGAGCTCCACCTGGGGCCTGGCCATGGATCTCTGCATCCGCTTTCATCAGTCATTGGATGAGAGTTTTAGCATGACAGTTAGGGTGTTTGGCCATCTGATCACCAGAGTATAAGTAGCCAAACTAGTAGAAACACATGAAATATGAAGCAATAGCTGAGGAGCCCCCAACTGGATCAGGCCCTCTGGATAAGTAAGACAGTTGATTAACTTGAACTGTTTGAGCGGCCCCCAGGTAGTGGGACCGGGACATGTCCTTAGTGCATGATCAAGCTGTTTGGAACCTGGGGCCTATGCAGGGATACTTTGCTCAGCCTGGGTGAAGGGAGAAGGGGACTGGACCTGCCTGTACTGAATCTACCAGACTGAGCTGAATCCCCAGGGGAGTCCTTGCCCTGGAGGAGATGAGAATGGGGCATGGGCTGGGGGGAGGACGGGGTGGGGGGGGGGGCGGGAGGAGTGAGGACAGGGGAATCCGTGGCTGATATGTAAAATTAAATCAAATATAAAATAAAAAATAAAAAATAAATTTTTTTTAAAAAAAGAAGAAAGGCTTCTCCCTCTTGTTAATCTCATTCTGCATTCCCTGCTCAAATTAACATTTTGTTGGGTTTTTTTGTTTTGTTTTGTTTTGTTTTGTTTTTTTGGTTTTTGTTTTGGTTTTTTTTTTTGTTTTTTTTTTTTTGCTGTCCCTGGGGGTGAAGCCCAGGGCCTCAGAAATGCTGCCCATGTACTCTCCCACCAAACTTCTCCCCAGAGTTCTTAGGGAATTCTGTGTATTAGACTTCCCCTGTTCAGATTGCTGTGTGCATTCTCTCTCTTGGTTAGACACAGACCAAGTCAATCATATGTCTTAGCATATCATTATCTAAAACAATTCTTTGGGGGCTGGCAAGTTGGATCAGAAGGAAGAGGCTCTTATTTGTCCTGTAAGCCTGATGACATGAGTTCAATCCCCGGAACCCATGTAAAGGTGGAAGGAGAGAACCAACTCTGAAATGTGGCCATTTGCCTCCACACACTTACCCTGATATTTATGCTACCACACAAATGCATCATGCACACACATTGACTGTCCCAATTGGTGTTGGTTTACTTTTGTTTTTATTTGTTTTTGTCAACTCAATACAAACTATAATTATCTGGGGAGAGAAACGTCAGTTTCTATTATAAAGAAAAATGCCTCTGTAAGATTCCCTGTGAGCAAGTCTGAGGAGGCTTTTCTCGGTTGATGATCTATGGGAAAGGCCCCATCCCACTGTGTGTGGTGCAATCATTGGGCAGGTGGTCCTGGGTTCTATAAGAAAGCAGGCTGAGCAAGCCATGAGGAGCAAGCCAGTAAGCAGCACCTCTTTATGGCCTCTGCTTCAGTTCCTGCCTCCAGGTTCCTGCCTTGAGTTCCTGTCCTGACTTTCCTTGGTGATAGGTTGTGACCTGAGAGCTGTAAAATGAAATAAGTTCTTTCAGCCTCAAGTTTCTTTTGGTCATGATATTCTATTACAGCAATAGAAATCTCAAGACAGAAATTGATATCAAGTCATGGAGTATTTCTGCAACAGACCTGAACATGTGTTTTTGAGAGGATTGTGATACCGTTTGAACTGTGGTCTGGAAAAGCCCTTGAGTGCTCAGAGCTTAGTGGTCTGGTCTGTGGGAGCCTAGAAGATAAGAACATTGAGAGCAAGCCAGGCATAGTAGTGAATGAACACCTTTGATCCCAGGACTCAGGAGGCAAAGGCAGGCAGATTTCCATGAGTTTGAGGCCAGCCTGGTCTACATGGCAAGTTCCAGACTACATATAGAATTCTGTCTCAAAAAGAAAACCTCAAAAAAAGATAGAAAAGAATGCTGAGAGTAATGTAAGCAATGTAGGCATGGATTGTGAAGTTTCAGAGGGAAGATTCTATCAAAGTCATTCATTTAATATTTTGAATTAAGAGCCTGTGGTGGTTGGCTGGAGCTGAAGAATCAACTGTGATTAAAGAGAAACCAGCATAGTTGAGGCCAAGTCTTCTGGGAAATGTTTCCTCAGGGTCAACACACAGAAGCCATTCCAGAAGGGGCCATGGCTGTACCCCATGCTGGCAGCTGGACTTGCTAATGTATAAGAGATTCGTAGGTAGTACTAAATTTGAAGGCATGAAGGGATCGTGGAGAGCAACTGAGGCTTGGCACCAGGGGAGGCCCTTTGTAAAGGGGCAGCCTGAGTGGCGGCAGAAGCCCTGGGGTTGAAGGGTTCAGGGTGATAAGTTGAGGTCTGTAGCCATGTGGCAGGGTCAGAGTCTCTGAAGAGGGCCAGGAGAGACTGCTGGTGAAGACGCAGCCCAGTTGCAGAAGAGACCCCAGTGTTTGTGGGGTGACACCCAAGGACTGCAGTGAGATGCACTATGTGTGACGTGGGTGGCGGGGCCTGAGACGTGGGGCTGCTCAAGCCCTTTTGAGTTCAGAAGATGGTTGATGAGTCCCAGACGTCTGACCCTGAGCTTTACATTACTGGACCTTGGTTTTGCTTTGATTGGTTGGGATTACGCCCCAGTTCTTCCCTCTTGGATTAAGAAAGTACTTGATTTTTTTTTCTTTATGGGATCCCACAGTGTCTTGGTTGGCTTTCTATTGCTATGATAAAACACCCCAACCAAAAAGCAATTTGAGGAGGCAAGAGTTTGTTTCCACTTACAACTCCACATCATAGTCCATCATCAAAGGAAATCAGAGAAGGAACTCAAGGCAGGAACTTGGAGGCAGGAGCTGATGCAGAGGCCATGGAGGATTACGGCTTCCTGGCTTGTTCCACATGGCTTAATCAACCTGCTTTCTTATAGCACTCAGGACCGTCAGCCCAGGGATGGCACTTCCCACAGTAATGGTAGGTCCTTCCACATCAATCACTGACTTCCTTTTAGTTAAGTAAGTTTTTAGTTACTTTTCCATCACCATGACAAAACGTCGTGACCAAGACAATTTCTAAAAGAGAGCACTTAGGCTGAGCACGTGGCACACACCTTTAATCTCAGCACTGGGAAGGCAGGAGCTGGTAGGTGTCTGTGAGTCCAATGCCATCTGGTCTACGTAGTGAGTTCCAAGACAGTAGGAGCTACATAATAGAGAGAACTTGTCTCAGAAAAAACAATAGAGAAAAGAAAAAGAAAAAATAAATTTACTTTGGGGTTCATGATTCCAGAGGTTAGTCCATAACCATCATGGCAGGGAGCATGGCAGCAGGCAGGCAGTCATGGCACCGGAGCAGTAGCTGAAAGATCCACAAGTACCAGGCGAAGAAGAGAGAGAGAGAGAGAGATAACTGGATGTGGTGTGGGCTTTTAAATCCTCAAACCCTGCCCCCATTGACACACCTCCTCCAACAAGATCACACCTCTTAATCCTTCCCAAACAGTTCCACCAACTAGGAACCAAGCATTCAAACACTGAGCCTATGGGACCATTCTTATTCAAACCACCACAATCACTGACGAAGTGATTAAGCATTAATAATACTCCACAGGCTTGTCTACAGACCAATCTGGTAAGAGCATTTTCTCAATTAAGGTTTCCTCTTCTCTAGCTTGTGTCAAGTTGACAAAACACTGTCTAACACACAGTCATGAGACCTTGGGTAGTTTAGAGAGACTTTGAACTTTTAAAGAAACTTTTGCTATTTTTTATTTATTTATTTTTACTTTATGTGCATTGATGTTTTGCTTGCATGTATGTCTGTGTGAGAGTGTCAGATCCTCTGGAATTGGAGTTATGGATGGTTGTGAGCAGTCATGTGGGTGCTGGGTATTGAACCCAGGTCTTCTGAAAGAGCAGTCTGTGCTCTTAACCACTGAGCCATCTCTCTAGTCCCAGAAACTTTTGCTGTTTTAAAGAGACTGAACTTTTAAAATGTTAGGATTTCTGAAGATTGGTATTTTTTAAAGTTGGAATGTTTTACATTGTGATATTAACATTAATATAAGATCTTGAGGATAAACAAGAAAGAAAAGGTTATAGTTTAATAGTAATGTGTTGGTATGTCACTTGTCCTGGATGGGTTTTGTTGTTGTTGTTTTTGGTTTTGGTTTTGGTTTTTTCTATTTTGAGAGACCAAAGCAGGATGATTGTTAATTTGAGACCATCCTGGACTACATAATGAGTTCCTGTCTCAGAACTCAAGAAAGAAAAAAATCCACTCTTAAGCTAAAACATTGTGTTCTCTGCTCTCCCTCAGCTTAAGTGTCACCAAGGAATGGCAGAGTGAGTGTGGTATTGGCTAGCTCTGGCCACTTCCTTCTCTCCCTCCTTTGTGCTAGGACAGTGTCCTATTTAGGGTTATTGCTGTGAGGAAACATCATGACCAAAAGCAAGCTTGCATATACTGAGTCACACTCCATCAAGGAAAGTCAAGGTAGGAACCTGGAGACAGGAGATGATACAGAGGGCTTGGAGGGGTGCTGCTTACTGGCTTGCTCTTTGTCAATTGCTCAGCCTACTTTCTTACAGAACCCAAAACTACAGGCCCAGAGACAGCCCCACCCACAATGAACTACCCCACTCCCACCCCCACCCCCATCCATCACTAATTAGGAATATCCCCTGCGGGATTGCCTACAGCCCAGTCTTCTGGAGGCGTATTCTCATTTGAGGCTCCCTCCTCTCAGAGGACTCCAGTTGTGTCAAGCTGATGTGAACCAGCACAGGAAGGAGGACAGAGAACAGGATGTCTTAGAAATGACCTATCCTCTCTCATGAGGCATATGGTATGTCCCGTGGGGCCTGCGAGGATGTCTGTGCTGCAGATTTCTCCCATAGAAGAACTGGTTCCAGCTCAGCCTCTGTCCTTCGCCCTCTGGTCTCTGCCCTTGGCTGAGTCTGCTCAGTGGCTTCTGCACCAGCCCTTGACCTAGAAGGTATTTTTTTTTTTCATTTTGATCCTAACAAGCTATTTTAAGCCTACACCACCTTCTCTCTCCCTCTAGCTCCCCTTTGCCCTCTCAGGTAGGCTCCGAACTCTCCAGAAAATCCCAACCCCCCGGGCCTGAGTCTTTCTCTACTGAGGTGTACCCTTCTCTTTATATATATATAGTTCTAGGCAGGTACTGCCTTTCAGCTTCTTGTCCCACTAGTAAATAACCTATTCAAACACAGGAAGGATCCACTAGAGGTTGTTCTTACAGAAGACCAGAGTTCAGTTCCCAGCACTCACCCAGGTAGCTCCCAACTGTCTGTAACTCCAGCTCCAGCTCCAGGAGATTCAACACCTTCTGGCCTCTGAGGACACACACACACATACACACACACATACACACACACACACACACACACACACACACACACACACACACTCAAATATTAACATAGGCACAGCTGTAATCCCAGCCCCAAGGGAAGTAAAGATAAGAGGATCATTGAGGCTTTCTGGCTTCCAACTAGACATGGAAACAAGAACCCCAAGTTCAGGAAGAAATACTGCTTCAAAGGAATCAATTGAAGAGTGATAGATCTCTGTGAGTTCAAGGCCATACTGAGCTACATGAGATTGATCGGGTATAGGAGAGAAAACAGAGCCAGGCAGTGGAAGCACACACACACACACACACACACACACACACACACACACACACACACACACACACATTTAATCCCAGGAAGTAATATGGCAGGGCAGAGAAAGGTATATAAGGTGTGAGGACACAGGAACTCTTTCTCTTTAGGCTGAGGATTTCATAGAGGTAAGAACTAGTTGCTGGCTACTCTGCTTCTCTGATCTTTCAGCTTTCACCCTGAAAAAAAAAAAGAGTGATAGAAAAGGACACCTGATGTCCCCTTCTGGTCTCTGCGCCAGCACAAGTGCACAGGCTTGTACACACACACACACACACACACACACACACACACACACACACACACACACAAACAAAATAGATAGATGGGGACAGATGAGAGAGAGAGGTAATGATAGACAGGTAGATAGATAGATAGATAGATAGATAGATAGATAGATAGATAGATAGATGGTTGTTCTTAAATCTTAAGTATCTAATAGGCACTAAGGCACTAGTCACCATAAAATGCCCTATTATAGTCTAAGCAAATTTGTATAATATATGTAGCAACAAAGGGAATTTTAAAACAATAGGAAAAAGATCAGTGCTAACACTGAATAAAAGGATGGTGGGGGATGTGGAAAGATCTAAGAAAGGACACACAAATGGACCTAATTAAACATGTTAAAATGTTTCGCCTCTAACAACAGAACAGCATGACACAGACGCTCTTTCTCAGCAGACTGTACAAAGCCTTTCCGAACCTTGTAATAAGCCACATGCTCCAGATTTTCCTCTGACAAATTGCAGCCAAACTAGGTTTTCTCCACTCTATGTGGGTGTGACTGCTCTTTCAAAACTAATTTTCAGGACCTACATTTATTTCTACTATATTAAAGCTTCAAAACGGCCTTAATAGGTCTGAGTTCTCTAAACTAAATCATCAAAGTTTCCTATCTGTCATGCCAGCTTTTAATTCTAGGTTGTCTTCATTCCCCATCATTTTTCTTAGTCGCTCATGTCAGGACAAGGATAGAAAACAGATGCCACAAACCCCAAGGTTGTCCCAGTACAATACATGCATGGAAGAGAGTGTCTGTGACCATGAGAGTGATCACCAAGTTCCAAAATTGAAGGAAGCAAAAATGATGAGCAAAATAGACGAGGACGGGCTGGAACAACTGACCAAACATTTGGTAAGAGGTGCCAGCAGCGAGACACTGCCCAGCCCAAGCAGTGTGAAGGGGGAGCACAGCCTGAGATGGCAGGGACTCACAGCACATGGGCAGCGAAGGACCCAGAAGATGCATGTATCCTCAATTAGGTCCCTGGCTGGGCACCAGCATCCCGCCGTCCTTTGCAGCAGTATGACAGAACCAAACAACAGTCTTCACAGATGGGCAGAGAGGAAAGGTGAGCCTTACAGCTGAGTTCAAAAGCAGTAATGCTCCAACATTCCCCGGAAGCTGTCAGGACAAGACAACAAGCAGAACTACTGCCCAAGGAGAAATGCCGATGCTCCAACAGAAAGTTTGGAAGAAGGATTGGGAAAGAATTAATTGGAGATGGGGTGGGGCATAAATGGAACAATGGATGCAGCTGGGGAACTATTAATAAAAGGAAAAGGTTTCCTTAGAATGCAGCATAAGGGAATGAAGAGATTTAAAATATGAAGCAAAAGTCATGATGTCATCTCTACTGTATTCTGTCAGCAAGAAACGTGTGACAGACCCAACCAGGTTCAAGGGAATGAGAAGACACAAGACTGCACAGGAAGCTTAATTCTCTGTGTGACAGAGCACCACACACTGTGTCTCCATCCCACTTCCCTCGCAGGCACCTCTGTATTACATTTCATGCAGTGTTTCCATTTGCTGACCTTTCAGTGCCCCCAAGAGGACTGATTCTCATGAGGTCAAGAGCTCACTTGGGCACAGCCCTCAACGGGACATCTCTACCACACTCTTTCTCCCACCCCAGGCTCAGAAGAGGAGGCAGGAAGATTGTACAAGGCTGAGGTTTGGAAGACACTGTGACATGACACCTTCTGGCCACGGCAGGGCCACTTTGCTCGAGAACCCACGGCAGCTGTGGTTGCCTGCTCGAGACCAAGCTGGACAACAGTGCGGCGTGGACAGGGGCGTGGCCCTCGGGTCTCACCCCCAACTGAGGAGCTGTTGGCAGTTGGTGGCTGCTGGAGGGGTGGTCACTTGGCTCTGCTGGAGCGGCCACTGCTAAGTTCACCTGGGCTCTGGAGGATGGCCACATGTCCATGCACACACGGGCAGCACTTATTGGATTCAATGGGGTATTTAAAAAAAAAAGATGATGACATGAAGTTGGGAGAGGGATATGAGGAGAGGTGCTGTGAGGCATGGCGGAGGGAGTGTGGGGTGGATATCACTTATCAAAATGTGTTGTATAAGCGTAGGATATTTTCAGACTGTTTTGTTTTAAAGAACAGGCTCCCACACTCAGGTCTGCAGAGACTGCCTCAAGCCCAGCATAAGCAGGTGCTCACAGAGGCCTCTGAGCCCCATCACTGCGACTGAGTCCCTCAGAATACACACAAGCAGAGTGTCCAGCTCCAAAGATAAGTCTGAATCATCTGGGAAATATTCCCAAGAACTATAATGACACGAATTCCTTTAGACAGAAAGGTAGTCACCATGACAACTGGGAGAGCCACCGACAAGGCATTAGGAGGGAGGGAAATGAAAGAAGGGAGTGATTCAGCAAGAACTTCATATACCTCACCCCAAAATCTACCCACAATTAAGAATATATCTGTACTAAAGAAATAAAAACAGGACAGGGAGATGGCTCAGGGGGTAGAGCACTTGCCCTGCAAGCCTGACAGTCCTCAGGACCATGGAAGGAGAGGAGCAAACTCCTCCAATCTCCACGTGTGTGCCATGGTATCTGTGCCCCTACACGCACACACACACACACAACAACAACAACAACAACAACAACACATAATTTTAAACTAAAGAAAACAATTGATTTTGCTGCTGACTGCAACTCAAGCATGTGTCATATGTATAAAGGCTGGGTACTGTGACACAAAGACCTCAGATATTCCAAAAAGAAAATAAAAGTAGGTCATACTGCAACACAATTTAAAGCACTCAAAACAATATTTTAAATTAATGTTTGGGGGCTATCAATATGGCTCAGTGGTTAAAGACATTTATAGAGGACCGGGGTTTGATTCCCAGCACCCACATGGCAGCTTGTAATCATCTGCAAGTTCAGTACCGGGGATCTGACGCCCTCTTCTGGCCCCTACACACACTGCAAGAATATGAATACTTGCTATCACTTAAGAGAATTGGTTATAAATTATTATAGGTTAAGATAAGGGAAAAATGTATCAAATTCCAAGTAGAGGATCACTTGATGAGTTAAACAGAAAAAAGATGTTTTAGGATGTAGTATTTTTATAAGAATATAAAGGCTTGAGAGATATGAGAATGAAAATTTGAATATGATTTTTTTGGTTTGAGGAAGCAATTTAAGATATAAAAATATGAAGGCCTAAATATGTCATGAGAGTTTAAATAAATGCTGTTTTGGGTCTGAAGAAATAATTTGAAATATAAAAATATAAAGCTTTAAAGTTTAAATAAGTTATGAGGTTTGAATATAAGTAAAGTTTATAAGGGGTCTAAGATGTAAAGTCTTAAGGTAGGGGGATATAAAAAGAATGTTTCTGGAAGAAGGAAAGTAACTTAAGATATATAAAATGCAAGTTATCAGGGTGTGTGAAAGCAAGTTATGAAGGTCTAAGGATGAAAAGGCTTAAGTAATGATAAAAGGAAACGATTTGAGGTGTATAAAAGAATGAAACATGTTTCAGATTTCTTGCTCTTGATATTCTGCTGTTACATTGAGACTCCAAAGGTTTATAGTTTTAAAAAATGTCTGTCTTCTCTATAGGTATGGATGAAAACATGACCACATGCATGTTTGATTTTGAATGTCTGAGTTTGTGTGTCCTCTGTGTTAAGGAATACAAGTTAATACTAGTCATCCAGCTATCCAGATACTAGATTAAAGCATAAACTATTAACACTTATTTAATTATAAGCTATTTAAAGGAGAAAAAACAGAACCTGAGAGGTCCATTTGACTAATACATCTACAGGATAACAAATTGGCCTGGTTATTGTTACCAAACTTAGAGATGTTTTCAAGATTAGGCCTACATTTGTTTGGCTCAGATATATTTAATAGATAATGATCCTCAAGCCTGTCAAAGATCTGATGAATATGGCATTTAAATTATTTGATAAAAAGCTTACTATAGCAAACAGAGACTCAGCTTCTAGCAATGACTCCCAAGGTCTCCGAAGAAGATAATGAACAACAACATGATGACATCACCGGAATTGCTGACAACACTGACCACTGGGCAAGATGCCCCAACTCAACACCTGCTGCCAGGGATCCGGCCCAGAATGGACAATGTTATGGGCCCAGCAGCCAAGACTGATGCTGTCCTGACACCTGTCCTGCCAATGCTATGAAGACTACAGGAGCCTGGGATGATGATGGTCTGGGTAATGGATAGTCTATGTCATTTTTAATAGATTTGGAAGCCTGCACTCAGGTAAAATTTATCCTTCTCACATCTCTGATGGCATTGATGACTAGGCTAGCTATCGCTTTGTCAGCTTAGCAACATCAGACAACCAGAGTCTTCCACAAGGTTGCAGCCACCTTATTAATTCATTGATCAATGCATTAATTAATTAAAGCTACTAAGTCTCTTTCAAAAAAGAGAGAGAGAGACAAACAGGTTCTGAATATAGACTTACAGATGCTTTTCATAGGGCCAAAGACATTTCAGTCCAATCTATACTTGGCTTTCCAGATAGAAAAGAATGTACATGCTTTTTAACCCAAATCTGTAGCCTTTGCTAGGACTGAAAAATATGAGTCTACTCCTGCTGTTTTACATATACCTGTTACCTGCTTTTTCTACAATATGGATTTCAAGGCAAACTGATATATCTCCTGAGGATGATATTTTTCTCTCTCCTGGACTTGGGACTCCTCTCCTTCCTCAATTACTGAAGTTCTTAAATTTTAATTTCTGTTCCTACTTTATATCTGTCTCAACAGGTTTCTACTTGGCTGACAGACACATCCAAGCATCATTTGCTGATGAGCCCTGAACCTGCTAAAAACTGATATGGACCAATCCAGCCAATATAAATGCCATGGCTTCAGCTGGTCAATAAACCAGATGCTTCTATGTTCCTTCCTTGCCTTTGACTAGCATTTTGGCTTTCCAGGGCCCTGACAGCAACATCCCAATGTCAGCAGGAAGTAATCACAGAATCAAAAAAGGTCGTCCTTGTCCCCCCCCCCTCCCTGTAATGTTAGATCAAAAGGGAACTTCTTGTCGTAGGGAAACTGAGATAAAAAAATAATTACTTCTTCTTCTTCTTCTTCTTCTTTCTTCTCCTCCTCCACCTCCTCCTCCTCCTCCTCCTTCTTCTTCCCTTTTGTCTTTGTATGTGGGAATAGAGTCTTGCTCTGTAGCCTAGGATAACCTAGAACCTGTTATGTATCCCAGGCTGGCCTCATGTGGCTCAGTCCTCCTGTCTTTGTTTCCTGGATTCTGAGATTATGGGCATACACTACTATACTCTTGTTTCCCTGCAAATAAATGCCAGTATATGTGTCAAATATTTTTTTTAAAAAATAGATGTTGCTGGAGGGCTTCTCTCCAGGTTCCACCAAGCCCCGCAGTCCCACAATTCACGTATAAAATAATCACTCAGACGCTTATATTACTTATAAACTGTATGGCCGTGGCAGGCTTCTTGCTAACTGTTCTTTTATCTTAAATTAACCCATTTCTATAAATCTGTACCTTGCCACGTGGCTGGTGGCTTACCGGCGTCTTTACATGCTGCTTGTCCTAGCGGTGGCTGCAGTGTCTCTCCCCTCCTCCTTCCTGTTTCCCCAATTCTCCTCTCTCCTTGTCCTGCCTATACTTCCTGCCTGGTCACTGCCCATCAGTGTTTTATTTATATAAAGTGATATCCACAGCAAATAGACACAATCACAAGAGATACTGTCTCATCCATAGATTGAAGGTAAATAGCTATTTTCAACAAAGAAAAAGATGAGCTCTGCTTGATGTGGTGGCCCATGCCTTTAATCCTACCACTCAGGAGGCAGAGGCAGGCAGAACTCTGTGAGTTCGAGGCCAGCCTGGTCTACAAAGGAATTCCAGGACAGCTAGAGCTGTTACACAGAGAAACCCTGTCTCAAAAAAAAAAAAAGAAAAAGAAAGAAAGAAAGAAA